TTCTCTCTTCTTTTTCTCCCACATCCCCAAGTTGCCGCCACATGTTGGTCAGGATGGGCTAGGCTTTGCTGCAAAAAAGAAAACACTCTTCATGGCTTATAGCAACAAAGGTTTTACTCCTCAGTCATGCTAGATGTCCATCAGGGACATCTAGGGCTCTGCTCATCTTAGTTGCTTGGGGACCCAGGTTGATGGAAGCTCCATCTTGACAAACACTAAAGGGATTACTGTGGCAGGGAGGAGGGGCATGGGAATGGCCAGCCCCTCCTTTCTGAAATTCCTCCCTTGGTCCTCGTGACGCGATTCTGATTTTTCTCATGATTCTCTGATCCCTCACTCCTGTGTTCTGACTTGTGTTCCATCTCTGCCCTTTTCATGTAGCTACTCCCTAAGGACCATTTATTCCTTGGCCCTCTTCTAACAAAAAAATATTTCCCTCCTTCTCTTCCTTCCTTCCTTCTTTCCTTCCTTCCTTTTTCTTTCTTCCTTCCTTCCTCCCTCCCTCCCTCCCTCCCTCCCTTTCTTTTTCTTTCTTTCTCTTTCCTCCTTTCTTCCTTTCTTCTTCCCTTCCTCCCTCCCCCCTCCCTCCCTCCCTCCCACCCTTCCTTCCAGTTCTATGTGAATGATTTCCAGATCTTTATTTTCAACCCAGTTTCCCTGAGTCCCATTTCCACTGTCAGTAGCCATCAGCCTTCTCCCATTACTAACTCAAAATCTCTTACCTAAAAAGAAAATTTCCATCTCCACCAAATCTACTCTTCCTCCCAACTCCCCTATTTCTGTTGACATCCCTTCCTCTCCTCATATTGAAACTTGCAAATAATTTTAGAATGTGTCTCAAATCCATCCCCCTCCCTGTGGTACTTCCCAAGTTCACGGCCTTCTCACCTCTCTCCTGGAAGACAATAGCCTCCCAATAGCTCTTTGACCACGCTTTCAGCCTCTCTGCATGGCTCAAGGCTGCACATTGTACAGCTCTAGGAGCATCATTCATGGTGTATTCTAGGTCAATGGCTCCCTCTGGAGTTGTGCAGTTGCCCTGCAGGTCCACACTGAGCCCACAGTAATCTGCCTACAGCTCAACTTGAATCCTGACACACCACTGCTCAAAAACCTTCCTGGCCTTCCATTCCAACCTGCATAAAGGCCAAATGCCTTGGCTCTGTTCCCCCCACAGGCCCCAATGGGAGTCACCCTCTCTCTTCTGTCTCCTACAGCAAATGGCATTTTCTACCCTGCTTTATAGTGATTTAAGAATAGTTTTCTTCACTTACTCTATGAGTGAGAAGGTAAATTAATTGAGGGATTAAATTAGTAAATATTATTTGTTGCTAATGGTAGAAAAACTCAAGCCAAAATGGCTTAAGTTTTAAAAGAGAATATCTTGGCTCGCATACATGAGAATTACAGCGGGTGTGTCTTACTGCTTCAGGAATAGCAGGGTGCGGGGCTCAGCAGAGATCCTCGGGACTCCTTCCCTCTCTTTCCACCTCAGGAAGCTGAAACCACAGCAGGCCAGTCTGGCGGGAGCTACAGCCAAGGAGGAGAGGGAGCTGCTGCCAGAGATGCTGCCCACTGCACTAGAAGAGGAGGGACACTCTGGCGTCCCCCTTCTCCTGTCCTCTAGTGGCCCACTGCTGCCTTCCATTGGCTGATGCTGGAGTCTAGGAAACACAGCCTGAAGGGGAAAGGGAAGAGGTGGGTCTGAGAGCAAACAGGTGAGTCACCAGCACAAGTACCTCACTCAAAGTCACACAACGGTAAGTGGTGGAGCCTGTCTTGAGCCATAGCTGAAGTTCTGAATCCTGCCACTCCTGCTGCAGCCAGCACAAAAGAGTATTCCAGCCAGAGGCATCTGTGTGAGCAAAGGTAGCGAAGTCTGGAACATGTATGGAAATAGCAGAGGGTTCCTTTGAGCTACAGTGTAAGGCGCTTGCAGAGGAACAGCAGGGAATGGGATCCATACTATGTAAAATCTAAAGGCCTGGCTCAAGAATTTGGCCTGGGTTCAGGAAGCAAAAGGAAAGTTATCAAAGGAGAGGGTTAAGGTAATTTATTTATAACTATAATGATGTCAGAGAGAGGAAGGAAATGCTTGGACTCTCTTCAAACAAAATCAAGATACAAAGTGAAATAATTCTCAAGAATAAAAATTACAAGCATAGGGCTTCCCTGGTGGCACAGTGGTTGAGAGTCCGCCTGCTGATGCAGGGGACACGGGTTCGTGCCCCGGTCCAGGAAGATCCCACATGCCGCGGAGCAGCTGGGCCCGTGAGCCATGGCCGCTGAGCCTGCACGTCCGGAGCCTGTGCTCCGCAACGGAGAGGCCACAACGGTGAGAGGCCAAAAGGGGGAGAGGCCCCCGAACCAAAAAAAAAAAAAAAAAAAAAAAAAAATTACAAACATAATAAAGAGTTGCTTTTTTCCTAATTTTTGTATAGTTGCCATCTTTGATACTGGTAATAGAAATTAGGAAATCAAAAGCAACAAAAACAAAAATAAGTGGGACTACATCAAAGGAAAAACTGCACAGCAAAGGAAACCATTCACGAAATGAAAAGGCAACCTATCGAATGGGAGAAAATATTTGCAAATCATGTATTTGATAAGGGGTTAACAGGCAAAATATATGAAGCGCTCATACAACTCAATAGCAAAAAAACAATCCAATTAAAAAATGGGCAGAAGACCTGAATAGATGTTTCTCGAAAGCAGACATGTGGATGGCCAACAGACACAGGAAAAGATGCTCAACATCACTAATCATCAGGGAAATGCAAATCAAGATCAAGATGAGATATCACCTCACACCTGTTAGAATGGCTATTATCCAAAAGACAAGAAATAAGTGTTGGCCATGATGTGGAGAAAAGGGAACCCTTGTACATGGTTGGTAGGAATGTAAATTGGTGTAGCCACTATGGAAAACAGTAATGGAGGTTCCTCAAAAAACTAAAAATAGAGTTACCATATGATCCAACAATTCTATTTCTGGCTGTATAACTGAAAAAAATGAAAGTGCTAACTTGAAAAGATATATGCACCGCAACTTTCATAGCAGCATTATTTATAATAGCCCATGTATGGAAGCAACCTAGGTGCCCCTCAAGGGACGAATGGATAAAGAAATGCCAGGTAAACATATGATTTATAATTATGGAATATTACTCAGCCATAAAATAGATGGAAATGTTGCCATTTGCAACAACATGGGTGGATCTTGAGGGCATTATGCTAAGTGAAATTAATCAGACAGGCAAGTACCATCTGCTCTCTCATATATGGAAGCTAAAAAAACAAAGCAAAAAACAAACAAAAAAGAACAAGGAAACGAGTCTCCACTCTCTTTGCAGTACCTAACAAAGTACTTAGCACCTAACGGATGCTCAATAAATATTTGTGGAAAATATGAATTTAAAAAAAGTGTGATAATGGTAGATCAAATGCAGAGAATTTAGAAATAGATCCACACAAATACACCCAATTAATTTTTGACAAAAGTGCAAAAGAAATCCAATGGAGGAGAGAGAGCTTTTTAACAAGTGGATTAATTGTGGTATATTCTTAAAATTGAGTAGTACAACAGCAATAACTGCTGCTACACAACATAATGAATCTTACAGATAAAATGATTGTTAAAAGTAGCCATATACGAGAGCTTAATAACAACAAATAGGAATGAACATTCATTCAGTCAAGTGAGGACCTACTATGAGCTGGGCACTGAGTCGAGGCTTTAGAGCACGTCAACATGAATAATTTGCTGGGCTCTTCTTATGTTTTCCTTTCCTTTTGAAGTTGCAGGAGAACACCCCATGTAATGACGTTTGATCTGAAAAGAGATCTGTGGTATCCAGAAAATACACAAAATGATTGTTCACTTTGTTCTCATTTTGTGGTTTTTAAATCTCAAGGTCATATGCTCTGGCTGGCTTTATTTGAAGTTAAATGGCTTGACCTCACTTGCAAATGAATGGAATGTGCACAAAAAAAGAAATGTCACCTAAGAAGGAAAATGCCTCTGGGTGAGGGCAGTAAACTGGGAGATTTTACATCTTTTTTTTAAATTTATTTATTTGGCTGCGCTGGGTCTTAGTTGCGGCACATGGGATCTTCATTGCCGCGTGCGAGATCTTCATTGTGGTGTGTGGAATCTTTAGTTATGGGATGAGACTGAGTTAGTGATTAAGCCCCTTGATACTGCCATTTGTTTAATCACAAACTGAGGATACTTGTTATTTAATAATACATATATCATCATCATCTTCAACGGCACAGATACGCCAACTAAAGGTCTGGCTGTGAGCCATACAACATTAGGCATGTCACAAAGGGGACACTAAATATTATATAAACTGGGTTCCTGAAGGTGGCTAGCTTTACAAATTTTAATCAATAGGCAGTGAGTCAAAAAATATGAATCCCTAGGTGGTTGTAAAGTTTAGTTCAGCTTCCCTGCCATGACCTTACACTTGCAACCCGTTCACTCATGCATTCATTCAACATTTATTAAGTACTTTCTATCTTCCATGATTTCAACAAAGATTTATTACTGGCACATATGTGCTCGGCTTTGGGTAATGGTGAATAAAATAGATATGAGTCGACCCTAATAGAAGTACTGTTTACGCCCACGGTTTGACAGAGATCGTGCTGTCCAAAAACTCACTCTTTAGCAGGAAGACAAACTGGTAAGCCAACCTGCAGACACAATGTCATGAGTATATGGAGGTGTTCACTGGGAATAGTGGTAAGCTCTCCACGTGTCATGGGAAGGCTTCTCTAAGAAGCTAATGCAGTAGCTGGACCTTGAAAGAAAAACAAGAGATTTCAGACATTTGGGGAAACATGTTTTTTTAAATTAATTAATTAATTTGTGGTGCGCGGGCCTCTCACTGTCGTGGCCTCTCCCATTGCGGAGCGCAGGCTCCGGACGCGCAGGCTCAGCGGCCATGGCTCACGGGCGCAGCTGCTCCGCAGCATGTGGGATCCTCCCGGACCGGGGCATGAGCCCGTGTCCCCTGCATCGGCAGGCGGACTCTCAACCACTGTGCCACCAGGGAAGCCCGGGAAACATGTTTTGAGTAGAGCGATGGCAGGATGCTGAGGCATGGGAATATGAAACATCATGCACGGTTTGGAATGCAGAGCTCTGAGGGCGTGGGGACAGGGGGGCAAAGCTAGGCCATGTGAGGCCTTGTGAACCATGTCGTGGAACTCGGATTTTATTGTGAGGCGTATGGAGGCGGTTGATGGTTGTGAAACAGAGAAGTGACATGATCAGGTTTGCCTTTTAGGAAAACCATCTACCAACATTGTGACTCCAGGAGCTACTAGAGAGACTGGATCAGTGCAACTTGGCCACTCCCTGGATGCAGGTGTGTGTGTGGAGGTGACAGGGTATGGGGGGGGGGAGTCTAGGAGACTCCCAGGCTTCTGGCTTTTTGCAGCAGCCTCTGTTTGACCCCCAGACTCCAGACTTTTCACAGTAAACGCATTCTGCAGGTGACAACCAGACCTACCTTCCTGGAACAGATCTTTTGTCATGTTGCTTCCTTGTTACAAAACATTCAGTCAGGATTTCTCACTCCACAAATACGAATTTCTGAGCTTCCTTCCAAGGCCCTTTGTTGGGTCTACTCTCTGGTTCCAACTTTAAATCCTTCTGCTCACCAGAACGCTCCTCTTTCCATTGCTGCAAAGACATTCCTTTCTCTTCCATCTCGCTGTCCCCGTATCTTCCTTCTGGATACCTTAAGCACACCATCCTCCAAGGCTAGCCTAGCTTCATCTCCGTCATATGGCCTTCTCTGACCACTTCATGCCTCACTGATCCGCTGTATCTTCATCTACTGCAGTTTGGAGCTAAGTACGTAAGACTAGAATATGAGCCTCACAAGGGCAGGGATTTTGTTTATTTCACTGCTACATTCCCACGCTTGGGAACAGTGCCTGGAACATGGTAGGTATTTGATAAACATTTGCTGAATGAATGAATGATGATTCGGTCCTCCATAAATATTTAAGAAAGAAAACATTCTCAGGAAATAGAACATTTGATGGATCTGATCATTAAGTCAACCAGCATATACTGAGTGATTGCTCTGTGACAAGCATTGTGATGGTTTCTGTGTATTCAAAAAGTAATTACGGGCTTCCCTGGTGGCGCAGTCGTTGAGAGTCCGCCTGCCGATGCAGGGGACGCGGTTTCGTGCCCCGGTCTGGGAGGATCCCATATGCCGCGGAGCGGCTGGGCCCGTGAGCCATGGCCGCTGAGCCTGCGCGTCCGGAGCCTGTGCTCCCCAACGGGAGAGGCCACAACAGTGAGAGGCCCGCGTAGCGCAAAAAAAAAAAAAAAAATTACACCTGGAGTCCACAGTGAGAACAAAGTCATTATCCTACAGATCAGAATCTGATGAATATTTACATTTCAGCAGACATAAACATCAGTAGGGAACAGCACAAACAATTTTTGTTAAAAAACCCCACAGAATTTCATGTCCCTTAGATTTCAAAGTTTTATTTTCAAAGACTTATTTTCAAAGTCTGATAATACCAAACTTTGGTAAAGATGTGGAGAAATAGCCACCCTCAAACACAGCTAATGGGGAGGAAAATTAGTCCAATCATGTTGGTGGGCAGTTTTCCAGTTATCTAGTAAAAGTGAAGGTGGGTGTACAAGACAGTCCAGTAATTCTACTCCTACACAGCAAAGTTCTCAGACATGTGCTTGGAGACAGAAACGATAGTGCTAAATGGTAACACAGTTTGAAACAAACAGCTAGAAACAACCAAAATGTCTCACCAGCAGCAGAATGGATAAATAAATTGTGGTTGTATCCCGGTGGTGGAATCTTTTGCAGCTGTGACATGAATGAGCTTGAGCTATAACTATCCACCTGACTCAATCTCACAAATGTTATATTGAATTTTTTAAAAAAGCAAGGTGTAGAATAATAATGCATAAGGATCCTCTTTACATAAAGTTTAAACATAGAATATAATACAATATATTATGTGTGAATTGATATAAACGTAGTAAAAGTATAAAATATGCCTGTTAAGGTGACCAACCATCACAGTTTGCCTAGAAATTTGTTTTACCACTGAAAGTTCCATATCCTGGAAACCCTCCATTTTTCAGGCGCACCAAGACCATTGGTTGCCTCACCTGAAGAAGAGAAACATCCGGCTTAGAGTGGGGGTGACTTCTTCAGGAAGGGAAGGAAATGGGATTGCGTAAAGCTACGCTGAGTATAATTCAGCTGAATTTGTAATGTTCTGTTTCATAAACTGGATTATGGGTATGCGGGTATTTGTTATATTATTCTCCATTTGTACATCTTAAATATTTCGTAATTAAGAAACAACCCCCCCCGCAAACCTCCTATAGTGGATGCACCCCCAGCTTTCAGGACTGAAGCACTCACTCCTTCAGCTGCCTGGAGTGCTGGCAGGTTCATCATCTTACTCTCACCTGAGTTTTGAACTTCCCCCATTCCTAACTGGCTTTGTTTGAATGGATACACTTCATTTCTGGGGGTAGCCTGCAGTCAATGACTGCTTGATACATGGGTGTAAAGGCTCATTCCTCGTTCCTCAATTCGGGACCCTTCTGAAGGGCCACCCAGGCTTCAGAGCTCCCTGCAGGGTCAGCTGAAGTGTCTGTTGTGATGGCATCACAGCCCACCTTCTTCTGCCCAGTCTCGCCTCCTTCCCTTCCCTTCCAGATGTTGACCTGAGAGTACTCCCCGGTAGACAGGATGCATGCAGATCTCCATCTCAGAGTCTTTTTTCCAGGAGAACTTGACCTGTGACACTGTCCTTCCAAGAAAAAGCGAAAGAGAGAGGGAGAGACACTGAGATCACAAATTGTGAAATGACTCCCTTGCCTCTTTTTTTTTTTAGCACTTGCCTACTCCACCTTGTATCCCAGTTAATGTTTAAATCTCAAGCTTATATACTACACAGAATTCTAGGTCTGGATGTAGAAAAGAAACAGAGAAACACTGATTATTTTTTAATGAACAATAACAAAATGATATAATTTTTATTTCCCACAGAGGGGTTTTGTGGGTTAGAGAACATTCTAGCACCTGTTTTTGCTGTTCCCACCAAATGAGTCATTGAGAGGGATCGGGTGATTCCATCTGAGCAGAGGTGTATGACTCTGAAAAAAAAATAAACAGAGTCTAAAACAATACATAATGAGCCACTGACTTGTGTCGTGTGGATAAATAAATCCTCTCAGAACAGAGAGGAGGGGCAAGTCAGTGAGGTAAAGCAATGGGATGAGGTTCAGAACACGGTTACAGAATAAAAACAAATGAGAAAAAGAAGGAGCATCTCAAAGCAGGCATCTTTCCACAAGCCTAGCAGATCTAGGAGCAAGTTCAGTCATTTGATCTTGGACCATAACCTAAAATCTGCCAAGACCACTCTCACCACTATCCTTTCCCAGTCTTGATAACCTTCCAAACTCCAAGACTGCAGGGCTCCCTCCCCTAGAAAAACACACACACACACACACACACACACACACACACACACACACACACACACACACACACACACACACACACACACACACACACACACACAGCCAAAATTCCTACCATGGTTCCTAAGCCCCCTGATAATGTCTCGTGTCTCCCTCACCAAGTTCCCTAATGGGAGGAGGTACGGTTTGGTACTGCTTTCTAAATTCTGCCGGCAGGAAAGGGCTCTGGAAGTCAGCTAGTTGTAAATCACAGCTCTACCACTCACTAGCTATGTGACCTGGGTCAAGTAACCACACCTCAATTTCCTCAACTATGAATTGAGAATAATCCTCCTAACGTAGGTAGGAGGACTAAGCAAGAAAATGCTTGCTAAGCATTAAGGGCAATGCTTGGAAAATCTGTGTAGAGTTTAATAAATGATGGATTACTTGAATATTTTTAAATGTAAAAATAATGATTCTAAGAAGGTGTAGGAACAAAACACATACATATTTCAATACTATGCAAATTATTTTAAACTGACTGTGATGTAGGATTAAAATAAATCTAGTGAGGAAAGAAGGGAGGACTAAACTTCACGTTCCTACCAAACCATCTGTAGAAATGTTAAAATTAGAACATTCTTGTGACAGAATTGTCATGTTCATTGAACTGAATTGTCAGGGGAAAAAAATGGTCAGGTTCTGTTCAATGTTACAATTCCTATGAGAGTAATTAAAATCTGAAGTTCTGTTTCTTTATTTAGAAATAATGTCTGCTTGAAAAAAGAGCTCTAATTGTCCCTATTTACACACTGGCTGCAAGAGCCCATTCTAGGCAGACAGACAACTCTGTAATTAGCCCCCTTCAAGAACAAAGCAGTGACCATCTTTCAGCTGCTTTCTGGCTTTTGAGCTTAGGAAGCAAAGGAGAGTTTTTGGCTCGCTTGCAAAATGGAATTTAAATCTGCCCCAAGCAGTCAGTTGCAAGAATGATAATTGCACAGTTTGTTACAATTGATTTATAGAGGCCCCAGGAAAGAATGAAGAGCTTCTAGCTAAAATTGTCAAATGAATAATCAGTGATATGTGAAATTTTCTCTCTTAAGATTTTAATGGCTGTATTTAGAATAAAATGGTAATGTTGACCTATTTCTCATGCAGTGAATAAACCAGCTGATATTTTGGAGTGTCTATTAATCATTCTTATAGACACCACCCTTCTGAATATCCACTAGGGTCTGCTTTATATTAGTATTTTGCACATTTCAGATGAACTTTCAATGAAACAAATTTCAATTAATTGAATTACGCCTTGTAAAAGAATGTAGGCAAAAGTTAAAATTGTGCTACTGGGACCAACAAAAACTTTTATGTGCTATCAGAATCTTCTGCAAAGAGCGTATAGACTGAATTAACCTACCCCCTCTCCCTTGCAAAACACACATATAATATACACACGCATATATACACACTCAGCTCCAAAGAAATGGAATGATTCCACTTTGGTGTGTCACATGCAAATATTCTGCTCGTTTCATTCAGTCTAGAAGTCTATGATGTGAATTTAATCTAGCTACATTTATTGTGATTACTGATGTAATTTGGACTCTCTCTGCTCTTTTACTCTGCTATTTTATTGGTAGTTTTTCATAATTCTTTGCTCTTGATTACAGCCTCCATCCTTTATCTCTTTTAAGATTTTAACGTAAGTAAAGATCCTTTGGGCATTGCTATATTTCTATTTCTTTGGCTAATAAACTTTCCTATTTGTTTGGTTTGTTAGTATCTTTCCTGGGTTTGGATTACTGCATGAGTTTGTAAACTTGCGGCCTCATCCCTCGCTCATTACTCTGGATGACTCTTCCTGTTCTACAATGACTTTTTTTTTTTTTTGCAGTACGCGGCCCTCGCACTGTTGTGGCCTCTCCCGTTGTGGAGCACAGGCTCCGGACTCGCAGGCTCAGCGGCCATGGCTCACGGGCCCAGCCGCTACGCGGCATGTGGGATCTTCCCGGACCGGGGCACGAACCCGTGTCCCCTGCATCGGCAGGCGGACTCCCAACCATTGCGCCACCAGGGAAGCCCCACAATAACTTTTTAAAAAATTGTGACTATAGATTTTTAAATTTGAGACTATATAAGCTATCATTTTAATGTATCTGGGCTGGAATTAAAAATTCCATGTACTCTTCTCTATTGTGACAGGAAACCAATTTATTTGACTTAAAAATCAAATATTGAAAGAAAAGATAAAGCAGAAAAATATATCAAACATGTTTATAGAGTTAAATAGGACACTGGAGGAACCAGCAATGAAGCCCAGATCAGGTTTTCAGCTTAGCAACCAAGAAGTTGCTGCTGCTACTCATGAAGATAAGGGCCTTGGAGGAGGAACAAGTTTGCCGCAGATTTCCTGCCCGTATATTAGGGAGAATCAAGCTATCGTGAGGGACCAGGTAGAACAAGCCTCTTAGGAACTAGTCGTGTGCCTCATTAGACGAACCAGTTCCGAGCTCTCATCTGCAGGGGCTCTGGGGGAAAGCAGAGGGCCCACACAGTACGGGGAGTGGGATGGGGGCCTGAGGCAGAAGTGTCCAGGAGGTCCCTAGGGGATTTCTTGTCACCTTAGAGTGACAGTAAGAACTGCACAGAAGGAAGGTGAAGGAACTTAGAAGCCTTTTAAGAAACATAACAGTAGCCATACTCTGCTTGAGAGCTGAGAGAAAGAAACCATCCACAAAGAGGTCAAACTCTTGACCTATGATTTTCGGTTAGGATTTTGTGTAAGTTTTTATCTGCTAATACCATATCATCATGCTTAACAGTTTTTAATGTTGCATTATTTTATGTCATCTTGTAAAAACTTTGGAGGGTAAGAAGAACAGATATTATCTCCATTTTACAGATGAGAAAGCTGAGGCTCAGGGAGATGGTCTTATTTAAGTTTTCATGGCTAGAAAATATGAAAATCAGGATTAATGCCAAATATTTTGACTTTTATTTCCTTGCTCTTCCCATTTCTTGTTATTGCCTCTCAACATGCATCTTGTTAGTGGGGAACCCTTTTTCTCATCTCCTGATGTATCCTTCCCAGGAAGGACACTCCATCAGTTTAACTCCTGACCTCTCTCCCTTTCCTCACTCCAGCCCGGGGAGGTAGTAATTTACCTGATAGGTAAATTTAGGAAGAATTCTCCCCTTATTCCTTTTGTGAAGGAGTTTGCCTGCCCAGAGAGAATATCTACTCTACTCTGCAATTCTAAGAGGTATGGGGGAGATGGGTGGGTGGGTGGGAGTTGGGAAGATTTTCTAGTTCATTTCTGCCCAGAATTTGGTACTTAAATTTGCCTAATCCAGTCAACAGGCCCATTTGGTTAATACCCTAAACTCTACCCTCCCATCTAGCTTCTATTTTGAATCACACTGGTATCTTGGCTTCTATCCTTACTCACTATTTTAGTTCTCATCTTGCTCAGAGCCTGGACAAAAAATAGGGTTACTATTTATTGGAGACCTCCCATATAATCTGCAACACCCTAGGGAGTTTGGAAATAAGAATGAGGTATGGGAGCAAACAGTCATGACCAAATACTACAATAACCACAGGAATATTGCACAACTCAGAAAATATATTAGGGACTTCCTTGGCAGTCCACTGGTTAAGACTCCGCGCTTCCACTGCAGGGGCCATGGGTTTGAGCCCTGGTCGGGGAGCTAAGATCACCCCGCATGCCATGCGGCACGGCCCAAAAAAAAATTATATAAAAAAATAAAATATATTAGACATCAACAGAACTTAGCTAGGAGAATCCATTTAAGTATGAGTAGCAATTGATAGATGGAAATGCTGAAAATGAAACCCATTCTCTTAGGAGAGAAATCAGTGGACCAGGTAACAAATTAACCGCTATTCACTGCTTAAAGTCTCTAGGAGCAGAAATAAAGTCGATGCATACGAGGTATGCAGTGGTTCAAAGAAATAGCATCAGAAATGAACACTAAGGTGAAGCATTAAGCTTATGGCAAAAATCAGTTTTATAAAATAGCCTTATATATGAGCTTCTTTCCTTAAAAAGCACCTTGATAGTCACTTCTTCAGTGCAGCCTGCCCGGATTAACCTTACCCAAACAACCTTTTTGTTAAGTGCTTACTATATACTAGACACCTTTTTATACATAAAACGTACACAAATACATGGGTAAAAGCAGAATGTGGCTCCTTACTGAAGAAAGAAGTTTAGCAAACTTCTGAGTGGGGAATGAAGATGAATTTACCATGAGAATCCCTTCCACTTTGGAAGGGCTGGCAAGCCTGTGAAAGTGTATTTGCAGATCCTGGTTCTTGTGGATAGTGGATTCATGTGTTAAAAACACCAAACACGTCCCTGCTCAGGTCAGAATAGATATCACACAGCTAATGCCAGAGAGAAAGGAGAGGTTCAGTATCTCTCTACATCTTCCCACCTCTCCTGCTTCTCTCCTGGAACTGTCAGTGTGTGTGGTCCATGTGTGTGTGGTCACCTTTTGCTCACCGCCTCTGAGCCTCTGACGAGGATGGTCACCTCAGGATGCTTATCTCTACTGAGTTTCTGTTGCTTTTTCACTTACTAATGAAGTAATATGAGATCAGCACTGTGTATCATTCTTGAAACCTGCACTGAAGATGGTGTGATGTGCATACGGTAGATAGCTCAAAACAGAAGTGTTGGAAAGCATTTGGTACTTTTCATAGTGATTTTTTTCTTTTCTACTTTGGATTTTTGCCTGGATGCTCCTGAAATGACGTATACGCTCCTCTGCCAGCCTCCAAACTTCCTGCGGGCACGCATTGAGTCTATCTATGTAACCTCTCCCCAGTGTGTGCATACAGATTGTGCTCAATAAGTACTTGTTATATGAAAGACTGGTCACATTACTGAGGGAAGAAAGAATTCTAAGCCACCTCGAGATTTACTAGTTACTCTAACTTAACATCAGGCTCAGGATACTCCGCAGATGCGTTCATAATGGAGAACAAAGATGTCGGGCTGTAGGGAAGAGTGGTTCTGGCAGCGGGAAGTTTTTCTTGATATCTGAAAAGTTTGTGCATCAACTTTAATTATGTGCTAGTAGCTTCAAACAAAAGAAAAACACTTTAGTGCAACTAATCTAAAAATATTTTTATTTGTCAGAAATAAAATTCATTTTATTAGGATTACTAATCAGTGTTAACATGTTTTTATATTTATTGATAAATATCACCAACTGCTTTTCAAACAACTTTTCTCGGTTTCCTATGCCACCAGAGGGATCAGAGCACACCTTCCACATCACTTCTCTCCCTTCCCCAACTCTGGGTAGTAACCTTTATTCCCTAAAGTTTCACTTAATGAAAAATGCTAATTTGCGGTTCTTTTCCTTCTTATTTCTTTGACTAGACTACTGAGGCTGAACAATTTCTCCTATTAATGTCCTTTGCTCATTTTTATCCCCAGCAATCATGGTGGTCTTCTTGCTAATGTGCATAAATGTTATTACATAAAGGTAAAAAATATTAACTGCTGCCTATGTCCTTGTTGTATAGGTAGTTTTTCCAGTTGACCTGTCTTTTCCTTGGTTATATTTTTTATGTGAAGAAGTTTCAAAATTGTGTGCAGTAAAATCTCTCCCACTCATGATTTCTTCAATCACTCCCAAGCTTGGAAAGTTGCACTGCCCCCAGAAGTTTGATAAATTTTAATTTAATTTAATTTTACTTTTAAAAAAAATGGTCTGAGTTTTATATATAAAGACTTAATCCTTTTGGAACTTACTGGGGTACATGTGTAAGATAAAAATCTAAATAATTATTTTTCTGCCAAATTGATAGTCACGTATCTTAGTACCATTTGTTGAATTATTCTCTCCTCTACGTTATTTGGTGATGGCTTTGTGAAAAATCATTTAAATTCTTATATGTAATAGGATCTCCATCTTCTGTTTATTCTAGTCCAATGATCTGTTGTTGAAAGATTACCACACTATTTCAAATTTTGCTTTAGAATCTTCTACCATATAAGACTTTTTACCACCAATGACATTACTACTGCTTTTTGAAAGTTATTCTATATTTACCTTTGTTTACTGCTTCACGTGAACTTTAAAATATTTTCCTTTTTTTCCCACGAAAGTGATTCTGTTGGGATTTATCTATGAATGAATCTGCAAAGAACTGACATGCTATTTAGTTTTCCAATATAGTATACCTTTCCATTAATCAAGTATTTTAACTCTTTAAGCAAAATTTTGTTATTTTCTTTAAAGAGGTCATACACATTTCTCATAGAAGTTACTCCCAAGTATGTTTTTTTCTTGCGACTGCAACTGGAATCTCTTTCTCATTATATTTCTTAATAACTTCTCAGTGGTTTGCAGAAATGCTATTAATTTTCACAAAATGTATTTAGCTCTTATCCAGCCTTTTCAAAACCATGGGTCCTATCTTTTGTAGAGGAGTATTAGGGGAAGCATTCATGGAAGAACATTTCTGTGCCATTTATAGAAAATCCAGAGTCGCCATGTGACTCAAACGCCCTTTATATGAAAGATGAACATAGGTTTCTTTTATGGGGTGAAGAGATATATCTATGCCCTCTGCATCCCTGGTCTTAAAAATACTGCTTTCCCTCCCAAACCATGGGAACAATCCCAGCTGTTCTTCAGGAACGCTCTTTCCTCGTCTCGTTGGTGTTCCAGTCCTTGCTCTGGGCCTCTTGGCTTGCGCAGCCCATTCACAGCGCTCTGGTGGCTTTTAGAGTGTGGCCTCTCACCATGCCCTCACAATGCTACTTCTCTAGTTTTGGTGTCACCAGCTGCTACCACTGAGCGACTCCTTGTCTCCATTTGTCCTTCTCACCTGGGAGTCCTTCCAGCCAGACTAGACCCTGGTGCAGAGCCAGAAGCAACCGCCCATCTTGTTTCCTTTTTGTTCCCCAAGAAATCCAAAGCTTAGCTTACCCCATGCTCTTCTCTTCTTTTGATGGTTTTTCAGTCTTCTAAATATTTTTCATTGTCTTGTGTTATATGTGATTTAGCATAATAAACCACATCAAGTCTTTTCTAAAAATAGGCAAGATATAAATCTTAGCAAATTTTTCTAAGATTTATGGTTTTATGGTTAAGATTTTATGATTTATTAAATAAACTACACCATGTATGCTATTCAGATTAACAGCATTAAAAAAAAAAATGAAGCAGTGGGGAAAGGGCACATGTATTACTATGTAACCAATTTTCCATTCAGAAAACAAGCTAGAATACTTCCTGGGTGTCTATGTATATATATGTGTGTGTTTATTTTTTTATATATACCCATGTGTATGTACATATGTAGGTTATTCAAAACATACATGTGCACACAGGTGATATTAAAAATAGTTTAAAACAACAGTCACCTAAATTCGCATATAAATAAAAATTTTAAAATACATTCCCTTTTGTTCTCTAATAAAACTGCTTTAAACAATGTAAGTTGTAGTGAAAACGGTGCATCAAATAATTTCTAAATTGTTTGTTGATTTTTAGAAATTGCTGGTGTGACATTGTATATGACCTAGCTGTCACTGGCTAAATGACGCCCCCTTCTGAGCCCGGAGCTGTGTCAGACTCTTCCAGCTACTTCCCTACTGCATGGATGGACATTAGGTTCCCATAACCAGGGACTTTGTTGCAGGCAGAGAGCAGCTAAGCCTGCTGTTCACTGTGACAGCCAGGCAGCCTCTGGACGCCAGCGCTTCCCACATAGACTGGACCCAGACTGCCTTCACCTCGACCCCTGCCCACGAAATGGTCTCCTTGTTTCCAGAATACTCCTGGCCACTCTCCCGAATCGGGTCAAGGAAATGGGTGCTACTTCCTAGCGATTCCTGGAATCACCACTGATAGAGGACCCAGAACAGTCCCCATCCTTATTTAAGCTGAAGCAGACAACTGCCACCAGGTGGCGCCAACCTCAGCGGCCTGGACGTGAACAGGTATGGCTCTTGCAGCTCTGGCTGTTAAAACTGGCCTGTCATTTAACTAACCTGGCAATAATGACCCCGCATTTACACGGTGAGGTTTTCGGGCTTCACTTACTGTATTATGGGTGAGGGAGTTAGATTTTAGATTGTTATGAGGCTGTACCTAAATTTTTTTTCCCCTTCTCAACAATTTGATTTGGAAAAATTTGAAACCTAGAGAAAAAGTATAAGAATAGAATATATTTAATGACACCCATATACCTTTCACCTAGATTCACCAATTCTTAACATTTGGCCACATGCTCACCCTCTCGCACTATATCATCTCTCTCACCTCTATCTCTCCCTGTCTATGTGTACATTTTCCCCCCTGAACCATTTGAAAATTAGCTGCATCATCCTGACCCTTTATCCCTAAATACTTCAGCATGTTCTCCCAAGACCAAGGACATTCTTCTACATAACCACAGTCACACTCAGAAAATGCAACATTGAAAGCGATATCATTACCTAATATTGAAAACGATATCATTACCTAATATATAGATCTTAATACCGAACTTTCTAAATTGTCTTAATAATGCCACTTATAATTGTTTTTTAAAATCCAGGATCTAATCAAAGATCTCTGTATTTAATTATTTAATTGTCATGACTCTTGAGTCATCTTAACCTGGTGTGGTTCCTCAGCCTTTTAGAGTGTGTGTGTGTGTGTGTGTGTGTGTGTGTGTGTGTGTGTGGTCTTTTATGAAATTGACTTTTTTGGAGAGTCCAAGCCAGTTTTTTGCACTTGTCTGATTCTTCCTTCATGATTAAATTTGGGTTAAACATTTTTGGCAAGAACACCACAAGGTGATGCTGCATTCTCTTAAAACAGTTTTTAAAAGATTTCAGCAACTCTATTTTAACAACATACTTTTTGTTCTAGAAAGAAAACCGGTAATCACTGGCTCTTTAATTTTAAAACACATACGCAAACCTTGGGACTTCCTCCTTTGTCATTCTGATGCCATTTCCATGAGTATACCACAGATAATGGAGAGCATGTAAAACAAAAGGACATTACACCGTGAAAACCAGCAGATCCAAGTTCATAAGGGATTACGTCTAACTAAAGTCCCTAGTAGTTCTATTAACACATGGGTTGTCTGTACAGCAACCTTCCTTTCAATGGGCCACCAAACTTCCCTCTCCATGTGGCCTTGGTTGGCTGTCAATCATGGGACTTAACCTCTCCACCATGGTGATTGGTTTAAGGATAAGCAGGACGTGACCTGAACAGAGCCAGCCTCTTCTTTGAGAGATTACACATGGATTCTGAAAGAGAAGTCTCTCTCTTCCTCTGGAATTGTGAGATAAATGGTAATGTTGGCTGGAACCATTTATGGTCATCTTCCTGGTTTTATGGAGGAAACTCTGCAGGAGAAGAAAGTTCACATAAACAAAATGAAGCAGTGGCAAGTGGAAACAGAAAAGATCAATAAAAAGAGACAGAGTTAGTCCATGTGACATATGTTAGTCCCTGGATCTAGCCATGCCTGAAGTTGGATCCTCTATAAATTCCTCCCCCTACCACCCCCATAAGCTAGTTCGAGTTGAGTTTCTGTCTCTTGCAGCTGAGTTTTGAGTAATGCAGTCATGATTTAAGGACTTGGTCAGAATCTCAAGGATCTTTTTCTTTGCCATTGGCAAAGCCATGGCCAGTCACCAAAGAGCCCCAGTTTCCTGGGCTATAAGTAGGGATGATAATTCACACTTCAGGGTACCTGCTGTGCAGATTAAGAGGGGACCTGGGCAAGCACTTCACAGCACCTGGCTCATATTAGGAAATCGATGGTCGCTAGAACTGTGTACAAAAGTCTAGGGCACCTCTCGAGGCTTCTGCCGTTTGCTCTGTGCCCTTGAATTTTCCCTCACTCTACCCAGACTAAACCAGACTGTGCTGAGAACAGTGCTTGCTCAGGTAGTAATCATTGCTCACTGTCAACATCGTGGTTATATTCTCCCCATTTGTCCTATAAGCGCAACAACATGAATAGAGCATTGAATATGTGTTGAGGGTATTCCGTGTTTGTCAGGTTATTATTTTTCCAGGTGAGAGAGAAGCCAAGCGTGAGGCTAACAGATAGCAACTGCACTGACATTTTTGTCAGCAGGCACTCCCCACGTGAGCTGGAGTTGAAACTCGAGGGTCAGGGAAATACGAACATTGGAGTTGGTATGTTTTGGGGGGCTACCATGTGTATTTGTTTTGGCCTCATTTATCCTATTTCTGCAACTGTTTGCAGGAGGAAGTTTGTCCTATCAGAGCCCACAGTACTTGTTGCTGTCAAAGGGGCCAGTTGCAAACAGTCTTTCAGAAAAGCAAGATTCCCAGAGAAGAAATCATGAGGTTTATGTAAGTACCATCACAACGCAGGCGTATTGCAGGGATTCCAGAGTTGCACAGATTCTCACAATTGCTGCATTTTTCTGGATTCCTGCTCTAAAGTACCTTAGCAACTGCTAAGAAGGGGGCACCTCAAGCAGGAGCTAACAGATGTCCTGGCTGATTTCAGGCCTGGAAGATCAGTGGAGGTGACACAGAACTGCTGTCCCTGGCATGAGTTTGTGGCCGGCGTGGACTTTCCACCCAGTCCATGGTGTGTTTAGAGTGGGGATAAGGGTGCAACAGTGACCTCTCATGCCTGAAAATTTCAGTGTCAAGTGGGAAGAATCTTCTGGACTTGGCTTTGTGGAATTCAACCAACTCAGTACCCCAACAAGTTCTTGTATGTTTTGGAGTTGAGTGCTGGTAACCCCAGGGCTGGAAGCAGGTGTTTTGAGCACATCTCTTTTTGCTACTTGGATTCACCTGTACCGGGAAAAGACTGCTGGGTGGACCCAGCAGAATCCTCTTTTTTTTTTTTTTTCTGCGGTACGCGGGCCTCTCACTGTTGAGACCTGTCCGGCTGCGGAGCACAGGCTCTGGACGCGCAGGCCCAGCGGCCATGGCTCACGGGCTTAGTTTCTCTGCGGCATGTGGGATCCTCCCTGACCGGGGCACGAACCCGTCTCCCCTGCATCGGCAGGCGGACTCTCAACCACTGCGCCACCAGGGAAGCCCCAGCAGGATCCTCTTTGCTTGAAGGGCCATTAGATCCTCCTGGGGAAGAACTGGTGCTAAGGACAGAGGTGCAGGCACACAAATTCAGCCCAAGAACAATGTCCCTGCGGCCTGAGGCAGGAGTGGTTTGAGTACAGGGCAGGCCACCTCCCAGCGAGAGGAGAAGCCACCGTAGAAACCCAAGAGCTGCTCTCACACGTCTCTGAGCGTCTGCAACACAAGTTGGCCCTGCTTTGGGCCATGCCCTGGGGAGGGTCCAAAAGGCACAGAAAGAGCGCTTCCTCCTTCTAGCAAAGCAGCTGCGGCATCATGGTGAGACTTGAAGGGCCAGTGCAGAGAGTGTGAAGGATGGCGGCAGCTGTGGTTGCCACAGGGAGGGGTCTGCTTACAGCTCTCCTGGACCCCAGTGCCTCAGGAGCAAAGGCAGACAGTGGTGTGGTGGGAAACAGTGCCCTCTACTGGGCACCAGAGGGAGTACCACACTGGGCCTGCTCCCTGTGGTTCGACCTGGGCAGAGACTTCAACAATGGGGATGAAATGGTGGCTGGTAGAAAGATGCCCAGGATCCTGTACTGGTGAGTCCATGAGGCCCAGCCCCAGGCTTTCCAGAACTAATTGGGGGAAACAAGGTGGGACAGGGGAGTGGGAGAGATGTAGCAAAATACGATTTGTTACTGTAAATGTAATCCCATTATTACCCTTTAACTCCCAAGAAGTGTGGCCTAGGGTGGAAGGGAGAGAGGGGACCATGGGCTCCACCTATAATTTCAAGTCTGCTTATTCTGATGATAAACAGCTTGTGCCACAGAAGAGTAGAAACGAGTATGACGTGGGGTTGTTTCACTTGATTAGCAGAGCAGCAGAATTAGGAGGAAGCCTGATCCTGTGCCCTGGTGCCCCAGACAGCATCAGGAGCTCACAAAGGGACTTCTGATGACCAACTTACAGCTTTCCTTTAAATTCCTGTGAGGACCAAGAGTCTCCCGTTAGCTCTGGAAATGTCTAAGGATTTATAAGCAAACATTCTCGGGAGAAAGTTTGAGCTGAAGTATTAACAAAAGAGATGATCCCATCTAAATCAGCTTAAGAGTTCAGGGCATCATCTACTCACCAGCCGCAGCAGAGGGGGAATTCCATAATTACAATAAAGCAAAGTAAATGAAAGGGAGTAATACCTCGATAGCTCCAATACAGGCTCTTTGGAATTACCACTTGCAGAAATATTGACTACTTTGGATCGCCCATGTCAATCTGTCATTCTCTAGTGAGACTAATTTGCATGCAGAAGTGTAAATCTTTAATAGGATTGCTGAAGCCATGAAGTCTAGTTTTATGATTTGGTTCTTGGGAGAGTCAGTATGGACAAAGGACATTTACATTGTAATCATAACTCGGTTTGCTCTACTTATTACTAGCTTGTGTGACCTCAAGGAGATCACACCTCTCAGATTCAGTTTCCATACAGGTAGAATATGGATAATAACTAATTCGCTGAGTTCCTGTTAATTGTGTGTAAGAAGCAAACATCTCTAAGTTTCAGTATGGGTTATTAACACAATATAATATTTATTGTGATCTGATTTTAACAAAGTCTGTATGAGCAGAAATAGATCTGATAAACACACGTTGCAAATTAAGCTAACCACTGAAATGATCATGACAGGTGTTGGCATTTGGGACCTCAGGTTAGGTCAACGCTGTTTGCGCTCACTTTTCTATTGGCTACAACTGTGGGGATGCTGAATCTAAGGCAGCAACTTAAACCTGAACCAGAACAATTATAGTGTTAAATCCTTTGAACCTTGGTCTATCTAGAGCTGAAATGGTTCGATACTTTAGAAAAATAAAACACCAACACTTGGATGAAACATTAAGTTTTAAAGGGCTATGGTTATGCTACACTGAGTATCCAGAAAACCCAAAACTCAAAGAGGAAATGAAGTTAAGGTCTAGTTTCCCTGTTTAATTTGAGTTTCTACCCTGCAAGTCTTTTCCTTGACTGTACCTTGTAGTTCAGGCCCCGCAAAATCGGGATCCACCCCTGAGTAGGATGAATAGAGCGCCATGAGGGCACAGAGATGGGACACAGTGTCAGGCTAGGAAAACTTCCAGGAGGAGGTGGAACTTAAAAATGAGACTTAAGGGTTGAGAAGGGGGTTAGCTCCACAGTTATGGGGAGATCAGAGCAACATTCCAGTCAAAGGGAATAGTCTGTGTGAGGAAAAGTATGGAGGGATGGATGAGTGGATGGGTGGGTAGGTGAATGGATACCCTTTGCCTAGAAATAAAGATATCTCCTAAATATGACTAGAGCTTACGTTAGTTAATGGCGAATACCGACTCTTCTCCCACTGGAGGTGTCATAGTGGCTCAGGGCATCCATTGTATGATTGGTGAGACCCCAGTTTGAATCCTGGTTGTGTTGGTTACTCATTACCTGTGTGGTTTAGAACTAGTTATTTTCTGCAGCTACTTAGGCCTCAGGCATCTCAGTTAAAAAATGAAGACATTAACATCCACCTCAAAGGGTTCTTCTAAGAATTAAATGACATTTTGCAAAGTTGTCAGCACAGTCCTTGGCATGTAGCAAGTACTGGGTTAATCATAGCTTTAACCATCATCATCATCAACAACAGGTGATTTCCATCCAAGAAAAAGCAGTGACTGACTGTAACAGCCACCTGAATAACATTTAGCAAACACCAAGGTGAGCTAGGTCATCTCAAAAGCAGAGATTTTGAAAAGAAATGCACAGGGCTGTCATCTGAAGATCTTCGTTAGTCCAAACACATGACTCAGCCTTAGAGACCACAGACTGGTTTGGGGTGCCGGCTACTGACCCGGGGACAGGGAATGAGATGTGATGCACGGTATAGTAAATTCTTGGTTCTATCCAGGCAGTACAGAGAAGCAGAATGGCTCATCTGGAAAGAAATCCCGGGGGTTGTTGTCCTTTATAAGAGCTGACACTTATAAAGTGGACTGTAATTCTTGCCCCGCACAGAGAGTAGAGGTGTGCCCCAAAGAGACCAGTTACAATACTGTCTCCTGGACTTACTGGCTCTGTACACTTATTTAATAACTCTTGTGTTTCTTCATCTTTAAAATGGAGACACTCTTCCTAACTCCCAAGGTTGCTTTGAGCAGTAGACAAATGATGGAAAGCAACAGACAGGGTCTATGATTACTGGAGCCGCAGGTAACCAACAGCATCCAATTCTTAGACAAGTTGCTTTTCTCAGAGAGCAGAATGCTACCTGCCTATAATAAATATTTCAGGGATGCTGAATTATTTATTTATTATATACCTGGGTTTACAAGGAAGGAAATTGGTTCCTTTAAAACAATAACATTGATTGGCTTAAATAGCAGAAACAGCACTCTCCCATCCTTATTTACAGACCCTGGACTGAGCTCAAGTGCACAGCGGCACATTATGGATGTTCCTGCTGACCTGCAGACAAATAGGAGGGTTAAAGGATCAATTAAATAACCTTAACTCATGAGCGGCAGGGAAAATATTTCAGCTGCAACACTGATTGTCGTTCTGAAAGGTAAGACAGCGGAGCTAAACAAGTTCATGTATTCACAGAGAGTGGGCCCCATTTCCTGGCTTGTATCCCAGCCCTGGGGGCCTGTGACTGATGGAAGGGAAACAGAACCCAAGGGTAGGAAAAGAGGAGAAACAAGTATTTATTAAGCACCTCTTCTGGCCAGGCAGTCTACCTAGCCATTTCACACAGGTAGGCCACCTAATGGCTTTTAATATCTGGGAGGTTAAGTTCCTTGTTCGTTATATTCAGGTGATACAACTGGTCATTGGCAGGTGTCACTAAAACCAGGATCTGACTCACAGACCAGTGTTCTTTGTCACCACCAGCCTGACCATTCATTTTGGCAGTCAACAAATATCCGTTGAGCTGCTTCCACATACCAGGCACTTGGGATGCAAAGACATAGCAGGTAAGTTATCTGCCCGCAGGGGTCTCACAGTCTAGGGAGGGAGATAGACAAGGGAACCTCCAATTTCCACCTGGGGTGGAAAGAGTGGGATCAGAGGGCAATTTACTGCAACGCCTCAGGACTCCTCATTTGTATGTGTCCCTTCTAAGTAAATATTCACTCTTATACCTAAATCTGTATTTGAAATTTTGTATTATTTTTCTTAAAGAGTATCCTCAAATTGTATAAGATTTGGGACCCACCACACCTGGATTCAGCCCTTAGCAGGATACAGTGAGCCCCATGGACATGCAGATACAATATCTATATCAACCCGCAAGGCTTCCAGGAGGTAGCCCTTGAAATGAGACTTAAGCAAGAGAAGTATTTTAGTGACACAGAGAAGTGGAGACGGGGATGGGATGGGCAAAGAGAAGAGATGTGTGAAAGCCATTGGTGGGCGATTTAAAATATCTCAACTTATTCAGGAAGCAATGATGCCATAGTGCTGGATGGTTGTTGAGAAAGATGTGTTGGCTGTGAGGGCAGCTGGTAGATAATGGGTTGCTGGTGCAGGAGGGGCAGGAGAGACGCTGAGACCAGGGTGGGAGGGACTTTTGTGCTGAGTTCTACAGAACTTTAACTTTGATCCTTCATGCTAGAAGGAAAAACTGAAGGATTTTTAGGATCTACTTTTTAGGATTATATTTTAGAAGCATCCCTCTGACAGAAAGATGCAGGATGACCTGGAATTAGGGTGAACAACAGTTTGTACCCAGGACTGTCCTGCTTTTAGCACTGAAAGTTCTGTGTCCTAGAAAACCCTTCAGTCCCAGGGAAACCAGGACAGTTGGTCACCTTACCTGGAAGAGGGTGAGCCCAAAGCCAAGGGAACCACTGAGAAAGTCTTCTCCATAATATGCATCCCGCTACCTACTTGACAGCTCCACTTTGATGTCTAATTGGCATCACAAAATCAGTGTGCTTAAACCCTCAGGGCCTTTGCACTTGTTGTTCCCTCTGCTGTTCCCCAGGATAACCACACCGTTCACTCCTTCAGGTCTTTATTCCGATCTTATCTTCTCAGCAAGGACTTCCTGAAACCCTCTTTTATAATTGCAACCCCTGCTCCTGACGTTCCGTATCCTTGTTTTGGTTTTGTTAGCACTTCCCCACCGTACAGCATACCTAACAAACTGAATATTTGTATTTTTTATGGTCAGTTTCCCCCACTAGAGAAAACCCTTCATGAAGGCAGAAAATTTTTTTGTTGCATTTGCAGCGTCCAGGACAGTGTCTGGCACGTAGTACAGGTTGTTTTACTGAATAAGCTGAGACTTCCTTGATTCCTCTCTACTCTCTCATACCCCACATCCAATTCATCTGCAAATTCTGTTGACCCTCTGTTCACAGTAGATCCAGAATATGAATAGCTCTTACCACCACCGTGACCACCCTGGTCCAAGCCACATCATCACTCACCTGGATTATTACAACCAAGGACAAAGGATGACCCCACCTGAAAAAGTGTCAGTGTTACACCCCCTACCGGACTCTTACTCGCCTTCCCCGCCATGTTGCGATGGTTACGAAATTCCTGAGCCCACCTGGGCGATGCCCACCTGGGCAACGGGACCTGTCCCAAATAAGGAAAGGCATCTGGCCTGTCCTACTCCCACCCTATAGAAGGAAGGTATATGTGCCTCGATCAATCAGTAAACGAAATTTTCACCTTGGACCATTCCTTTGTTTTCTGGCTATAAAAACTGACCAATAGCACATGTTCAGGCTGGACTCTCCCAGACTACTAGGAAGTCAGACCGCTGTTCTAGCAGTGACCCTTCCTCTAATAAATTCCATCTTCTTTACATTCTGCCTTGTGTCTGGAAGTTCTTTTCCAACCTGCTTTCAGACCACGACACCTCCCTCCCTGGGCTTCCTGTGTCCACCCTTGCTTCTGGACAGCCTGTTCTCAAATCAGGAGCCAGGGGGATCCTGCTAAAATGTGAGTGTGATCATGTCACTCGTCTTGCTCACTGTCCTCCCCTCCCCCACTTCCCTCCCCTCCCCCACTTCCCTCCCTGCCCTTTCCTTCCCTCAGGCCCACCTCAGCCTCTGGGAAGGCATCTTCAGCTGTGTCCAGGTTCTATCCATTCCAGCCACAGAGGCTTCCTTTGTGTGCTTCAAACACACTAGGCACTTTCCTGCGTCAGGGCCTTTGTACTTGCCATTTAATACTCTTCTCCAGGCATTTGCATGGCTGATTGATTTCCTTCAGGTCTCAGCTCAATAGTCTCCTTAGCCTTCTCTCCCACACCCAAAGAAAATAACAAACCCACCACCACACAGCTGAAGGCCCTTTGTTTTCTCTCCCGCACTTTGTACCTCCCCAGGTACAAATGGTGAATTGTCTGCTGTTTCTCTTCTCCCCCTACCCAACCCTCCCCTCACCTATGGACATGGAACTACAGGACTTGCTGGAAAGAAAGAAATGCCTTTATGAACTAATTTTCTTTCCTTCTTAGAAAAGGCAGAAACTTGTGTGCTTGTCATATTGAAAGAACTAATTACCGTCCTCATGGATAAAGAGAGTAAGGTAGAAGCATAGTTTCAGAAAAACAGATCCTTTCCCTTTTTTCCTCTTTCCAGCCGCTGTATTTACCAATCTTCAGGGAATGGCAGGTTTTGCTGTTCAAACTTTCTTCCTGACTCTCAAGAAGCAAATCTCTTGAAAATTCTTTGCAGAAATCCTGTTTGCTGCTGGAATGTGCTGAGAATATTGCTTCTTTCACAAAGTCTGTTTTGTATGTCTTAATTCGTAAAAGTTTTTCTTTTGTCTTCCCATTCACCACCTCCCATTTCTCCCTACTCATTCCTCTTGGGCTTTCCATGTGTTTCCCTCTTTGTCTCCTTCATGATGTTCAACATGTACAAACTCTCTGTGTACTCATGTGCCACGCAGTTACACACACATCATCTCATTTAATCTTCATACCCACCCTGTGAGATGCTATTATTATTATGCTATTGTACACATGGGGAACCTGATGCTTACAGAGCTAAGTAGTGGAGTGGAGCGGTCAGTACTCCCTCCCGTGACACCATTTCAGTGGGCACTGGCTGGCTCTCCACTGCCAGGGTCTGCATCTGTTTCCCTGGCTGCTGGAGGAGGCCAGAAGTGCTGGGGAATATGTCCATTCCGATCCCAACAAACCCCCGCCCCCCCCAGCACCCTTTAACCAATGACTGATGGAGTTGGTGTCTAAATACCCCAACTCCCCTGCTCCTTGGGTGGGAGAGAACTGAGGGGCATTTTCTATGCTGGCTCTCAGAGACTCATCATAGGATTGTACCTGGTGGCCCATAGTTAGCTGTATTGATAAAGAACCTTCTATTGGCTGCCTCCCCTTCCCTCTCTCTTCCCCTACTGGTGTTTCCTGGGGTCACTTCCGAGACGTATATTTGCACTAGAGTCCTTGTCTCAGGGTTTGCTTCTAGGGGAACCAAACCTAAGATTGAACAGCTGCCAGATGGCAGAGCTGAGCCGCAGACTCAAGCTGTGTGATTCCAAAGTTTGTGTGTTTCATTGTGATGTTCTAATCCCTTCCTTCTCTTTAAGAATTTATTTTTTTTATTGTAGTGTTGGTAACTTTTTCTTCTTAATGTGTCAAATCATAGCAAACAATGGTTTTGCTTAAAAAAAAAAACTATCCTGATAAATCAGTTGGAAAATGCTAACATTTTCTTCAGACTGAGAATTTAGTGTTATAATGACAAATTATTTTAGCTATGAAAGGACAAGTTCCCACAAGTCCACAACTTAGCGTTAATGGGGACCATATGATATGACTCATGACAGGAAGAAGAGCCAGGGTGGTTGATGATAAGTTAGGGGTGCTTTGTTAAGTTAAAAATCAATTTACTGGAAAGTCTTGGTTAGATTATGGAATTGAAAGAAGAGCTAGATAGTCAAGTTCCAGAAAGGACAGACACCAGGGCAGCTTTGGGGAACCAGGGACCAGAAGCTACTGGACAGTCATTTTGGGGAACCCTAGTCAAGTTGATTAAGCCTCAATTCATCTTGGTGAAGACTAATTCCAGGGACAGACAGTGTGATTGGTTGAGCTGAGACAGCCGTGGGGAGCACTTTGATTGACAGAAGCAATGGGAGAGATGCTCTTTCCAAAAAAAAATCACCTTGCTGCTTTAGAAGAGGAGGCGTGGGATTCTGGGCAGTAAAAAGGACAAATATTCCTAAGAAAGAGAAAGGACAATGTCTGCTGAGTAAAGGTAAGAGAAGCAGGAAATGACAGCACACAGAGGAGACACATAAGGTGACTACAAAGAAAAAAAATTGTGGAAATTCCCAGGTGCCGACAGGGACCTTGCAGTGTCTGTAATCTCCTGTTACTGTCCCTTTTTTTCTTTCTGCCCTGGACACACTGGGTTTCTGACCTTCCTCTATCACACCAGATACATTCCTCCTCAAGACATCTGTACTTGCTGTTCCAGTTTCTGGAACAGTCTTCCCTCAACGATCAGCATGGCTGTTCCCTTATATCCTTCAGGTCTTTGTTCAAATTTCATCTTCAAAGGGATGCCTTCCCTGATCACCCATTTCCTGCTCTCCTGTCCCTCCTTCTCTGCCTATATATTGGATATTATTACCATCTCACATGATGTACTTATTTGCTTAATATGTGTCTCCCTTCATGAGAATAAAAACTCCATGAGGGCAGAGATTCTGTAACCCCAGTTTCTAGAATGTTCCTGACATGTTGTAGGTTCTTGATAGATATTTATCGAATTAACAATGAATGGTTTCTCCTCTCTCCCTCCATTAAGGCTATCAAGTGTGAACATAAGGTTTCAAAATGACTGAGAGGGACAAACCCCAAACTGAGGTTCTGGGGCAGGCTAGAGGGGGACCAAGAATATCCCGTAGAGGCCTCTGTGGGAAACATGCCCAGAGAATTCTCTGCCCCCCCAACCACTGCACACGACGAGGAAGCCACAGGCAG